GGGATACTTCCGATGGCCTACGCTCTTCCGAAGATACATAAGCAGGACTGCCCCTTTCGTATAATAGTTTCTTCGATAAACAGCCTTCACTTTACAATTTTCATTAGTACTAGCTAATAACTAAAAAGTGACTCACTGAGTCTGATACCGACTGGCCAACATATCAGGAACCGGTTCTTGAATTATTCATGATAATGTTTGCGGTATGGTACTTTATAATTGTGGTGAGCGTCCCTATTTTCGGGATAATTGATTATATTATTAAAGTTTTTTGATAAATTAGTTTCTATATTCTTTAATTTGACATTTTTAATATTTCCCTTCTTTTTCATTTTCTTTTCTTTCTTTTTATTTAATTCTGGCATTGAAATTCTCGATGTAGGGGAGCTCACCATGACAGGATAACTTTTACTTTATATATGTTAGTGTGTGTTTGCTCTGAGGAAGGCTCAAAAATGAGTCGAAACATGTAAACGCGTTTAGTGAATAAAGAAGTTTCACTCTTTATAAGTGTATTATTTGCGCGACGTCTTCTGCGCCCGACTCCTAGTGCCCTTACTCTTTCCAATTCTTTGATTTGTAAGGAGTCTTGATTAGTTTGATTTATTAACGGATTTATTAATTATGATAATTAATTCGTAAGCAACTATATGAGTATGAGGGAGAAATTTCTACATTGCTCAAAGAAGAGGAGCTCATCTATTACCAATTCTATTACGCTTACCTATAATGCTGATTTGGCTAAAGACAGATTCACTTACCCATTGCATCTGAAACAAAAATAGAAATATTTATTTTTAGTACAGGTCAGTTCAAACAGGTATATATATATATATATATAATTCTTTGTACTATTAAAAGCAATACTTAATTTAACATCCAATGTTTGATTCATTTTGTATAAGCTTATACGGATTAATGCAATTATTTCCAATCTTTGATTTAAAAAGGAACTAAAATAAAATAAATTTTAAAAATATATGCATTTTTATTTCTACATCCTATTAAATATTTCACTTGCAAGATATTGATGTAATTACGCACGGTTATTACATCAATACTTTCGCTTCGTCATGTTCCGCTGAAGTTCACGGTATATACGTAGTTCCGAGTCTTCGGTAAGAGCCGCACCAAATGACTTTATGTATAACGTGCAATAAGAAGACCACGCGAACACACGGCTAATTCCGCGTTAATTGCCCTACAGTGCTAAAGAGCATTTCAGAGGAAAAAAAGTCGCTTTCCGTGCAAAAGGGGATTAAGAGCGTGAATGGCATTCTTCTTGGTCGTGATTTCATGCAAGAAGAGATGAAAGTCGAAACTACCGCGGATGCACTTTATCCAATGAACGCTGAAAAATACCGACTCCTCCCAGGTCGATCGTATTGCGACGCGAACGAGAAACCACCCACTTCTTTATCCAGCGCGTACAATTCGTATCGTTTCTATTAAATAAAGAATCGGAGTCTAATTGCCTTATTGTAAGCATGCGAGTCACGTAAGCACGCGGCAACCGTCACGATAAATCATAACCAAACCGGAGCCGGCGCTCGAAACAATCGAGCGACTGAATGAAACCTTGCGAAACAAATGAGCACGCTTCGTGCCGCCGCCTAATATCCGTTCCTTATACTAATCGCTTGTTGTACAATTCGAAATATCATTCAGGCGGAGCGGCAGCGTTCCAAAGAGTTACTCTTGGTCGACTTGAGAGATAGCCAAGAAGGATAGATCTTTCGTGGGAGACAACACGAGAGAGAGAGAGAGAGAGAGAGAGAGAGAGAGAGAGAAAACGTCGCGTGACACAGAGTCGCGTCGAAACAAGTTTTAAACGCATATGAAAATCAAGAACGGCATCGATATAGAGCTACGTAGCGCTCAGCTTTATTTAAACTGAAAGCCCGGTCACTCATAACTCCTTGAGATAATCTCCGCGCGCGCGGCGTGGGCAAAAGATACACACCACAAACTCCTTGCATCTATACACCCGTATATGTCTTCGTCTATCTTTATTTATTATCCTTAGGCTCGACTGTGTCTCCGCTGAGATAACCGACACTTCTCGCGTGTGCCGTAACACGTATATACTTGCAATATGCAATAGCACGCAGATAAGTATAGAGGTAAAGCATGGGCATTTTTCGTACATTCTACCCCCTTTTCTACGGCCGATTGCACACTTCTAGCGACGCAGCGAGTTCGTGTTCAGGCTGACTAACCCATTAGCGCCTTAGCTGCCGATCGACATTACTTCGATCGATAAAAGCCACGCCGAACACTTCCTACAGATAGGAAGGCCCGTTGTTTCTCTTATTGCCGATCGACCGAAGAAAGAAAAATTGCTTTAGCCACAGTTATCGCTAAATGGATAGCAGGCGTGCCGGAATCTTGTATTAAGTGGCATAATATATTCGACAATCTATGCCTTAATTCAAAGTCACACATTTTGTATATTTTTATATATTTTTTTTGTTATATATTGTCGAGAAAAAGCGATATTGGGCCAATTTAAAAAAATTGAAAAATTAATTATTCATACTGATAATTATGTCTCAACATGTCTTCTAAAAAAAGAAATCGTTTTATCTACATTTAAATAATGATAAGCTTGCAGAACTGCAAGACTAATTAATTCTTTACTAATCTAGTACAGCAACACTGTCTAGTACAGCGTTTTCTGTCTAGGAAGAAAAATAACTTCGTTCAAACTTTAAATTATAGCAAACTTCAACAGACGGAGCACGCAGATTATACAACGGGTATTCTTGCAGCTCTCTCGTGAGGATGCCAATAATTCGTTTGTCGTGAAAATAGAAGCAATGGCAGTAGAGATGTAGTATAAACGGAGAAATAAATTAACGATTACAAGAATTTGTGACACGGATATTACGCTTGGAAATGGTAAGAATTGGCTGCGTATCTATAAAATATTACCAACGAAATATATAGTAAATACAATAAATGATACGATGACCGGTGGTCAACAGTCACCGTAAATCTAATTACGATTGTTCTTACCGTTGCCAAGAAGAGATTTGCTCAAGTGACGCAAAGCCGATTTATTGATATCATTCCTTGTGCGATCCAAATATTCTCAATGGTAAAGACAATGACCTGGTGCTTTTCATACGTGTTAAATAAATTAAATTTTATGAGATAGCGATTTTATGTAAAATATAATATTTTTGTCTCTTGTTCAAAATATTAATATACTGCTATTTTTTTACGAGGCTATTGTCCACGCGTAATAAATTATATTATACTTGTTTTAATTTGTTTCAACTAAATCATGATTTAAAAAATGAAATCATATAGATAAATTAAATTAATTAAACGGATATCAATATCGTAAAAAAAAAAATCAAAAACCCAAACAAATTTTATATCTTCATTTAAAGATAAATTCATTTGTTTATAATATAGAATGATATTCCTTTAAATATATATTGGAAGTTCTCGAAAATAACTGAATTCAGGCCATGGAAACTTATTATCCGGACCTGTTCACGAACATACAGATAATGGAGCATAGGAAGCAGCAACCAGCTGCTAAATTTTCGAGATGGTTTCTACCGATCCGGGCTTAATTTGTAGCACGTTCTTATGGAGAAGGGGCGATGAGATCCAGTCGATCGTCTCGTGGCGTTGCCAGATTAGTTAGCGCGACTTAAGACGGCTGTTGATGCTGCCGTTTCTTGCCTCGTCTCCCCTCCCCCTCCACGCCATTTTTGCTGCTAAAATATCGTCCCTAATTAATCTCTTCGGCCTCTGCCGCGCTGACTCTGCGCTAATGTGGACGGTGACAATGGCTAAAAGACAGAGCTTGGAATCTGCTGAATTCGACAGCGTGGCGAGCGATCGAGAGAAAAAGCCGACCAACGTTTAACACCGTCCAAAAGGATGACACCAATGAAGGTTAGTCAAAACGAATCCTAATGCACATTTCTAAACAAATTTGTTTCTTAAAAATGTATTTAACATTTCACTTAAATATATTATACTCATCTAGAATAAATCACATAATTCGACTCGTAAATAAATAAAAAATAAAATAATGTAATGTTATCTTCGAATAGTGCAACGAATTCTATTTAACACAAGTTTTAAGTGAAAAACTTCATCTTTCAAATAAATTGTAAATTCACGCCTCTATGTAAAGAAATCTTTTTTTCAATAGAAACAAAACAGCGAGAGTAATACTGACGATAGTGGTCAACGATGAAGAGTCCAGTTTGGAATCTGCCGAATTCATCAGAGCAGTGCAGCGGCCGACTGGGAGAAAAACCTGCTTGATGCTTAATGCCGGAGCGACGAGTCAGAGCTGATGAGGGGAAGAACGAAGTCCGCTAATGGGAATTTGCGAGACGACCATAATGTTCTCCGGAAACGTACGGGATGCACTTAACGTCTTACTTGAATGTAGTATGACTCAAAAACCGCGCCACGGGAACTGGTCCGCAGGTGGCACTTGAGCTCGTAGTTCAAGCCGAGGCTGAAAGAGCGTACGCGGTTAATTGGGATAATCACCACAGTAAATCCACCGAACGAACTCCGCTTGGTAGTATCTCTATCGAGACAGCTTTTAATTTCTCGCTGCGGAATGCCATGTGGAAGAAAACGCCCAGTGCGTGGTATTCGCGAAAAAGTGTTGAATGCATAATACCCAAGAGATCACGTCTTGAATCTTGACGCGTGTAAGCTCAATTTGTCGCTCAACGAGACATGCCTTTCTCTGCAATACGAACAAGCAAAAATGCGCCATATCGATCGAGACGCGATCGTCCAGTGAATCGCATATGAAGGGTACTCTGAAATCGAGATCACATCGTACAAATAGATTCCCGCAAAAAGAGAGTGTGAACTTGGCAGATTCCAGTTCCTTTTTAGCCTTGTTAAACTGACACCGTTTAATTTTTAATATTCTTTTCAAAAATCGATCTACTGATTCTTTATATGCCATTAGAAAACAGCAAGCTGCTTATTTAAATTTCTTTTTATGCATTCTTAAGTTTTTTACAATAAAAAGTATTTTATTATATGAAGCTATATACTTGTTTTGTATTTTTCTTTTTTTCAATGACTATTTTGATAAGAAACCACTTCTCGTAGAAAGCAATAAGTAATTGATTAGACAAAGTGATATATCAGTTAGATATATAGAATAATTAATGTCGATGCACAATTCTGATTAAATGGTAAGAAGATAACTTGCTACAATTCTCGGAAGTATTAAAATTATCGTTGCGCAGATTCACCAAATTTTCACGTGATTTCCGCGGATTTTCAACATTCATATCCATTATGACATGTAAGGAATAGAAGTGGATGAGATGACGAGACTTGATTATAATTTAAATCGTAGAGAGCTTTAGCACGATTAAATTATTAAGTCAGGAATAGAGTGCGTTAAACCACAAGGAAAAATTTAAGGATCTCACGGAAAATGCAGTAGATAATAAATGTATGCGATTTAATGGTGTTATCGCGAATGTCAAGAGATCTAAATATAAATATTTACACCATACAACGAATTGACTTAAAAATCACTAAATAAAAATTCGCTCTATATGGGTGGCAGCATATAAGCAGAAAGGTGCGGACATGACAAACATGCGTATAGATAATTAACGCGATCTAAGCATCGTGTTCGGCGGAGCGTGTCAAGTGACAAGGACTCGATAAGTAACGTCCGTGACATCGCCGTCTCATTGCCCTACCGTGAAACCTACCGTTATTAGCAAACGAGAAGGTATCCACTCGTTTTCTAGAG